ATCTTCTATTTCAAATTTTAGTGGGATTTTTTCTTTCTTTGGGATAGCCCAATCATGACAAGATTTATAAAGAGGAGGACTTTTTTTTTTTTTAATTCTTGAACAGTCCGGTTAGGTTCTTGAGAGCATGAAGTTATGCGCACTTTGCTCACCTTCTCTGTAACAGAACAGAGGGTAACGCTCTGTAACAGAACAAAGCTTGGAAGAAAGTTTTTGAATTGTTGGCTCTCACCCCCGCAGTTTTTGTCAGCCATACAGTAGATGTTTAATTCATAAGAGTATTGTAAGATATCTGCTTCACAAGCTCCTGTAGGCCACAAAACACTTCTCGCTATTCTGTTACAAACCTTGGACCTACAGTAAAAGACCAAAACTGTATTGCGTTGGTGCAAGAAATGGGGATAGATCAAGGGACCTGTCAATTTGTAATGTCCTACATTTGTTTACTAAAATTTTGGAACTTATGGACTTGGTACAGAGAAAAGCAACCTCCCTTTTTCCCTTCCTTCCATCCCACCTTAACTTTCCTTGACAATCTTAACTAAGTCTCCAAAGGTGTAACAAAGGTGATTGGTGTAACACCTGAGAATATGAGTAAAACATACAAATTAGGTACTTTGTGCTTCTAAGTAAACAATACTGTGAAAGAACAAACAGTTTGCAGTCAAGAAAGAACAATCAGATTTCCTTTTAACCCTTGATATATTAAAAATACTGAGTATGGTACTTGTACAGAAAACTTGAACTTCATGAATCACTTTAATGCCTTATATAATCAAATAAATTTCACAGTCACTTCCACAAACATAGTAAGTTTTGTTGTGGAGTAGTTCTGATTCTAAAACTTGCACAGTAGAGTTAAGCTACTTTTGTTATTCTTGAAAATTGTTCAGTATAGAAATAGGAGAACAGGGACTAAAGCCCAGGTGTTTCCTTTCTCAGATGACTGTCGTAACCATCATACTAACAAGCATCTGTTTTTCTCCTACTGAGCAACTCCAGCTGCAGATTTGGATAACAGTGCACTTAAGAATAGTCTATAATACTTTATTGATTCCTCGCCTCCCAGATAAAATAAAATTTGATTCCTCTGGAAAAACAAAAAGGCCAAATATATGTGAGATTACAAAAATCCTGAGGGAAAAGTCATCATGCTATTATCAAAAACAACTGCGTGGTTGAGACACAGTTCTGATTTTCCTCATTTTGAGTAATGCATATTTTGTAATTATTGCCTCCATTTGAGACTTAAACAGCAGTGCAGTTTTGAATCTCCTAATCTTCAATCTCTTTTAGCATATTTTCACCAGTAATGTTTATTTTTTAAATAGCTTTCAATTTTTTTGTACATCTCATGGATATGATTTTTTGAGCAAATTGTGGACTTCTTATCTTTGGCAGTTTACTTAGTGCTCTCCCATTGGGAGATGGATACCTGTTTTGTGAAACTGATTATAATCTCTTCATATCTGTGACATAAAGCTGTGTTTAAGAGTTTCATGTTGTCTTAATCTCTTGTACTCTCAGTGGTTTCTAGTTGTGATCATCTGCTGCAAGGAATGACTGAAGGTTCACGGCAAATGTTCAGTGTAACATAGAACTTTTTCCACTAAATATTACTTGAAGGTTAAAATACAGCTCATCCTAGAAGTCCCCATTAATATCTGAATACTTCAGGGGTACAAGGTCGTGAAGATGTCTGTACATTCAGATTCTTACCCCCCTGCCCCAAATCTGCCATTTTTTCCTCTGTCTTCTTGCTCTTAAGTGTGATGTAAGCAGTTCAGACAGATGCATGTCTCTAGTTCACAAACTGACAGCTCATATATTAGCTTTGGATACTGTTGTCTGTTACATGGCAACACATTTTGCAGCACTATCTGATTCGAATTAATGTGGCTATTTAGAAAGACTGTCTTTCTGTCTGTCTTCTCAGTCATATTTGACTAGTGAGCATCAAAAGCCAGGATCTCTTTTTTCTGGCAAAGTGTGTCATACTACCTGTCCCATATTGTCACTCCTGTGATTTGTAGCTCCTAAGTGGAAGTGCATGGATATCGGAGCAAGTGAGCAACTGGCAGGACTTTGTCTTTGAGAAAAACTCTGCTTTGAAATGTGGTCTTTCCCTCAATCTGAAATCATCTAAAGTTTTTGACCGTAAGGGCATGCATTCTAGTTGCTTTATTTTTCTTAGTCTTAAGGAAACGGGAAAGACTTGGGAACAATCCTAAGTGTTTTTGTTTACACGTTACTGTCAGTTATTTTTGGTAAAGTGGTTAATGGCTATGGGGTATGCTATGTTGTTCATTTCAAAGCTTTACTTTAATCTAATTGTCCCAGATCATCTGAAAATGGTACTAATATGCAGTAGATGTATAAGTTTTTAAGTTAGAAAAGACACCTCTTCTATATATCTTTTAAGTATATTTAGAAATCAAGTATTAAATCAATTTAAGCTTCTGTTAAATACATTAATTCATTTTATGTAAATGTCATTATAGCATTTGAGGTAAATATGGCAATTTTTTTAATTTGAATTAGTTTCGAAAAGTACTATCTTCACAGCCATGTTGACTTACATCTGCCATTTGCTCAGAAGTCATGTATACCCTGCTATCTGCAAGCAGGGACCAGGTCTAGTCATGAGAAAGTACTTCAGTTTCCATAACTATTTTGCCCTCAGCATCTCTACTAAAGATTGCCAGTAAATATGGTGATGTTCTGTGATTCTTTAATGGTGGCTTTTATTTCTTTTTCAAAGCAGGACAAGGAAAACAAAATGAAGCAAAGAAAGCAAGACAAGTTTAAAATTAGACTTGCTAAATATAATGTAATAAGAGTCAAAATTACTTACAAGTTATTTGTGCTGGACAAAAGTTTCCAGTTATCTTCTTTTAGCAAGCAATGACAAATAATCTGGAACACGCAGAATTATTTTTTATCCCCTCTTGAGTTAAAACATTTCACTCTGACCTTAAATTTTGGTTATGTACAAAAGACCATTAACATTTTTCACATTATAATTCTGTATGGAAAATGTCAGCCCACACTGAATTACTGGATTTAGTTTTTCACAGTACTTTAGCTGTTAATGAAGATCCTATAGAAATGTTTTTAGAAGATGGAAATTTGGGAGATTATTTAGCTATAGGTAATTTATTATCTCAGTTTGAACAATATACACATTGTTGAGAATGTTTGTATGTGATAGGGGTACTACTGAGAAATTGTGATGAAATATGAGATATTGTATCTGTGGCATAGACTTGTGAGTGAAGAAAAAATTCCTAAATTTACTAAATAGCAAGATTGTCCCTCCCCACTCTGCTTTTGGGCTAAGAGGTCTACTGGGATCCTCAGATCTACAGATCTCCACACCTGCGGTCTTAATTTAGGAAGGTTTTATATAGCAAGCTGTAATTCCTGTTCCAGCTAATTTCAGCAGAAACTGTTGAGAAAATAATGTGGATCCTTTGCAGGGTTAAAAAGGGGGAATGACGAAATAGAGGAGACTGATTCTATGTTTCAGTTATATTCTTTACTGGTCTGGTTCTGCTGGAAATGATTAGAGCTAAGTTTTTCACAATGGAAAAGCTTCATAGCAAAAATCATAGCAATACTATGTTACTAAAATCTCTCAGCATTATGTTACTAAAAGAACAATGTATGTTGGAAAAAGGCTGTATTAAATCCTCTGTCAGAGATTATCACAATTTCTTAATGACGCTGTAGTGTGGTTCAATGTTACATTACGACAATATCATTTCCTGAAATCAAGACAGCTTTGACATCCAGTTGTAACCAGGAAGAATATTTAGAGATAAAATAGAATACTGGTGTTTTTTAATACTAGACAGTACTGCCTGTGATGGTAACTAAATAATAATTAGTCATCTCCATTAATATTTTTGATGTAGTGAAGTGAGCTATTTCAGATTTTAGAAGCACTTCACTTCATTTATACCTGGATCCTGCTGTAACTGAAATCCTAAGCAGAGTTTCCATTTTTTTGGCAGTTGGGTGTATTATATATGTGCACTGCAAACATAATAATGAACAGTACTTGTTACTGCCAGTAAGTAGAATATGCTCCAATGAGAGAAGGAAGTGAGCACAGCAGAATACATCTTTTTTTTTTTGCTAACACAGAAATAAACTGCTACTTTATAGGAGACCTGTTTTTACCCTGTCATTTTAATACAGTTAAACAACCTAATATTTAATATTAGTCACAGACCAATCAGTGATCTGTAAACCACTCCACACACTGTTATGCTGATGTGAACAATTAGATTTTTGGAAAAATGTTACTGCATCTAATTCCACAGTAAAAGTTAAGTAATTCAAAGTGGAATTGTGGAGTATTGAAGACAAATGTAATGACATGAGTCATTTATTCAGCCTCTTTGCTGCTGCATATACATGTTTTGTTAACTGTATAATCAAGAAAAAAAAATAATACTCTTATGTGAATTATGAGAGTATTGTTATTAAATGAGTGTTATTAAATTAGTTATTAAGTTATTAGTTATTAAAGAGTATTATTAAATGAGTGTTCTACAGTGCTGAAATGATTCACACCTTTGTATGTAAACCTCATAGATTAGTTAGGAGACTGGCTAGTCTGATTACAAACTATTAGTCTGGGATATTGCTTTAACTGAATTTGAATAATTATTTACGTTCTTTGAAGAGGAATGTCATAGTTACATGATAATGCTGAAGGAAGATTTGTCTGTCTTGAGGTAATCCTTACCGAGGCTGCTTACTGTCTGTAAATTTTAAGGATAAAGAAAGACTTATTATAAGAAAGTATTGTGTAAAGTATTGCTGATACTTTATTTTTCTATTTAATAAAATTTTTGTGTATCAGTTGCAACATACTGAGAAGGCAGAAAAATTCAGGAAACTTTGAATGTTTATAGTGAGTTGTCCTGCTAGCAGCTTAGGTTCCTGTTTTGATAATTTTCTTTTCTTTTGACTCCACTGTTTTCTTTAAGGCCTTATTCGATTACAAGAGCTCATCAAGGCTCCATCACGATACAACCTGAGACTAAAAATCCGTCAGTTACCAGCTGACACGAAAGATGCAAAGCCATTGCTAAAGGAAATGAAAAGAGGCAAAGAATTCCATGTAATCTTTGACTGCAGCCATGAAATGGCAGCAGGCATCTTGAAACAGGTAATCCTCATTTTGCTTTAGATGGCCTAATCTTTTTCATCCCCAATAAATAAAAGTAATATCCAGACTTAATGGCATTTAACAAGCAGGGGAATTGTATATCAGTTTTACAGAGGCCTAACTGAAAATCAGCCAAGGATTTCAGAGATAATTTTATAGGTGACTCTAACGGTAGCTGCTTTCATTATGATTTTTTAAGGAAACAGATTAATCAGTTCATGTACAGGGGAAAAGGTATATCAGTCTTTCAACTACGAAGAATTGGTACTTTGGAGAATTGATGCTTTAATCAGGGTTTTGGTTACTTGCTTAGTGTTATTTTATATAACGAAGATTTTTTTTTAAATTGAAGCCTTTAAATTGTGTACTCTTAATCAGATAGTGATATTTGAATAGTATGTTACCAACAGACCACATTAATGTGTTCCACTGAAGGGACAGAACTAATAGATCTCTTCTAGAGCCATATTCTCCTCGCACTGCTAATAGGACTGCAAAACCTGAAGACATTTGGGTAGGTGCTTTGAAGTGTTTGCTTTGTTGTGTACAAGTAAGATGAATAGATGAGATACAGTAGAATCCCAAATACTTAACTGGCTTTATATTGCAGAAGCAGATTCCAGTGATGTCTTCCAAGAGGAGGTGGCAATATAGTCATATACAAAGGATCATAAAAAAACTTACTGTAACCCTGAAGTATGCATAAAAGACATGCCTTTGTGTGTCTCCTTTAGTGTAATGAGCTAAAGACTGGGAATTCCTTATGCTCAGACCATTTTCCCCATAGTTTTTTAATTGAACTATGACTTGCAATAAGGAGGATAGGAAAAATACCTAAAACAAAACAATATTCTGTATTTCTAATGCACAGCTTTTAGTGACTTGGATTCAAGTTTATATTATGTTTGCTAGCAGACTGTATGGTTTAAATTGAAAACAAAATGTATTTGAGATTTGAAAATATGACTCTCATTAAAGGTACTCAGGGGTATTGTTGCAGGTACAATTAAAATTGCTAGTAAATATACATGTATACTATCATTTCTTTGCTTTATTGTTCATTGATTAAAAGGCTTTTATTAATTCCCAGTAATTTTAAACCTCTGCTGGTGGTTTTTGCTCTTTGCTAAGCATGTCAGCCTAGTTAGTCTAATTGTTTAGCCCAAATCATTAAATGTACATTTAATTATTTTAACACCTTAAAAATGCAGATGGAGAATGTGTTGATGGCAATACAAATCTGCAGTACTAACAATAAGTCCATCAAGGTACATTATTTACACTGTACCTAGTAGTTTTTAGATGAAAGGAAACTTTTCTTTCACAGAATACAACATTGTGTAAAACATATGACTAGAGGGAAATGGGAACAATATTAAAAGCATTATATCTTTAATCATGTCCCAGGACCCAAGAGTGAGCGTTCAACCTCTTTAAATCACATCAAACTGCTCATCCTAAAGATCATAGAAGGAAGATACAGGAACAATTCTTTCATAAGTGTTTAGATCTTTATACAGTTTCTGTAGACTTTTTAGCTTTCCATTCAGCTCCAGTATTGCAACGCTTTAAATATGCCTAAAATTGGTAGTTCTGCAGCTGAATGTGAGCTCTGGCAGTCAAAACTGACACAAAAGATGTTAAGACTGTATAATGATAGCATTCCAAATATAGTTTTTACATGTGTGTGCTGAAAAATAATGAAAAAATTCTTTATATATTCATTTGTGAACTATTAATTAACCAATATTTTCTGGTAATGGAGGGATGAACTTGGGGAGACATGACAAGGGGTTTCTTCTTGGGAGGATGATTAGAAAGGTTAACAACAAAGTTGGTGGAAGTGAAATCGAGTTGGAAATAAAGAAAAAAAAGTACCTTGAGAGGCCAGTGAAATGGCAACTACTGTTTTCTGGTCAAAAATGCATCACGAAAAGTTAAAAAAAAATTCCCTTCATTCAAACAAGCATAATTAAATCAAGGCAAATATCAATGGTAACTACATCACCAGGCAACAAGACAGGGAAAGCAGACAAGATTTAAAAGGTTAGGAAAGCACTGGAATAATGAGAGCAGAGAAATGACAATGTTTTGAAGAGGAAAAAGGAATGAGGTCTTTTGAGAAGTGAGGAAAGTGAGAGAAAGAAGACCTGGAAAAGAGACGACACCAGCACCTATCAGGAACCTATCAGAATCAGGAACATGAGTAGGATGTTCTTGTGTAGAGATTCTGTAGAGTACGAAGATCTGATTATAAGCAGTTAAGATATAGGTGACTGCAAATGTGTTATGCATATAGAGGAAGATACCTTGGTTTTATTTAAAAACAAGAACAAAAAAAGTTCTTAAAAAAGCCAATAATGTTTGTAGTTATACAGTTTCTAATGAAGTTGTAATATTTCTCATGAGATAATGGTTTTCCTGTGTTCAAGAGAATTTAAATTGCTATTGGCACACTATACTGTAGTTCTAAATATTATCGTGGAATTCTAAATACACAGGTATAAGCATCCTTTGGAAAAGTGTTGCAGTTTTTGTCAAAGTCTTGTCTAAAATATTATAAGATCTGATCTGTGGCTGATATTTCAAATTCATTTTAGCTTTTGATTTTTCTTTGGAGAAGAACATATAGACTAGTCATTTCATCATTTTTCAGACAATGTCAAAAGTGGAGGCTCCACAGCCTTCAGAACTCTGATAATTATTTTGTATACAAATTCTGTTATTATGACAATTGTATAATTGTTGCCTTCAGTGTGTTTAAGGAGGTGTAACTGGTAGTGACTTGGCAAAGAATTCTGTTGACAATTCCTGGAAAGGAAGAAAATATTTCTTACTTGTGCAGTGTTTTTACAGTGCTAAAATTAGGTAAAAATTACCAGAGACACTAAAATGATTGAGTAAATCATACTAGTCTAAGACAGCTTTTTTGCAGAGCATGAAGATACATGCTTTTCAGGTGAAAATGCCCTTAATGAATAAGAGTTTATTGCTTTAAAATTGTATATACAAATAATTGTTCTTATGCTGTTAAGAGAAAAGTATGAACATTTTAAAACACACAGTTGATCAAAAACTATTTGCTATTACATAGCAAGACAGATAAAGGTACTTGATAGATATCTGAGTTTATAGAGTAATACTATGAATATTTGTTCTTCAAGTAGTATGGTTGGAAAAATGTACACTCGTATAATATAAGCTTGGGTCCTTCTTCTAAATGCATAGTATTGTTCATCACAATAGAAAAAAATATTTCCTATTAGGTTATTCTTTTAAAGGAAGGGTTCAATAATGAATGAAAATATTGTCAACTCAAATTTTGTGTGGCAACTTAATGCATCCATTAGTATGTAAATCTATAAGCCTCTTTCACATTTACTGCACTAAACAGTCTAATAATATTCTTTCTATCAGAAGATCTGGTTCATAAATTCCTTTAATAGCCAGTAATCTGCTCTAACTGCTAGGAAATGACTTGCTTGACCTAATTTTAGTATAATTCCAACCCTATAGTCTGATCCCAGTAGTATTCTTTTGCAGCTTTTCATTTGCCATGTAACTGTGATAAAAATGTATTATGTGACCTCAGAAACATTAATCTTTTGTTTATTTTTTTAAGGCTTTAGCTATGGGAATGATGACAGAATACTATCACTATATCTTTACCACACTGGTAAGTGGCTTATAAAAACATACTGATGACATCTAACAAAGATGTTACTTTCCTTAATTATGTTACTTGACAAAGTGGAAAAAGGTCTCTTTGGAATGGGGTGTGAGTACAAGATGTTTTCTCTGGTGAGTTTTCTTACTTTCAGTGAAAACTCATCAGGATGGTTTAATTATTTTTCAACAATGTGCCCTCAAAACTGATAGACCCGAAAAAGCAACTGACTATGTAGCACTGCAGTTTTTAACTTTCAAGCAGGGATAAGTATATAATTCATAATTGATTATTTATATTATGTATTTTGTCCTTTTTCTCTTTTAGCTATTTGTATGTGAAGATTATGACATTTTAAGCTTACTTATATATTCCATATTTTTAATGCAATATTTACAAGGTAATTCTTCACTGTCATATGATTCCTGAATAATTTGGTGGGAATATTAGCAGCATTTTATTTAACAGTCCCCATGAGCTTTTTAGGCACATGAATTATGTAATACTCTTTGGTGTCCATTGTAAAAGTAACTAAGAAGGAATTTGATCATTCTTGGAACAATCAGATTTATCATTTGCCATAAATGAACATTTAAACTGTGAATGCTCTTACAAAACACAGCAAACATGTATGTGAAGACCTCTTTTGCTGCTCACCACAGCCTAAGAAACAGTTTAAAAGCTGGTAAAATAGTACTCTAGAAACGACAGTTGTGCATTTCTCTGTTTGCCATTGTGTTCAAATTTGCCTATCTAAATTGCAGTTCATTAAGGTTCTTAAAATACAGGTCATTTCAAGCATGAGACAAATATGCCTTGGTAAAATCATGCTTGAAATGACCTATGTTTAAAGTCACATACATGTTTAAGTCCTTATGGAAATGAATCCTTTGTGGTAGGATGGAAAGTTCACCTCAGAATCACAAAACAGAAGTTCATGGAAAGTATTAGCATGGAAATATCTTGTTGAATAGAAAGCAAAATAATTTGTGAAGTTCATTAGAACTGTAAGGGCAAAATACCCTGCACAAGTACCTGTCTTATTTTAGAAGGGGAAGTTGTTCTATCACTTACAGATTTAGGATTGTATGCAATAGAATTTCCCTCACTGGTCTATCAAAATGGATTCTAGATGTTTCAAGGGTTTTTTTATTTTTTAAATTTTCATTGCTAATGGTGAAAATTACTTCTTCGAGTAGTATGCTGTCCATTGGCACTTAATTTTTATTCTTAAAGCTATGTTTAAAAATCAGGATTTTCTGTCATTCTTATTTCCTTATTAGAACATTAGCTTTTTTTAGGAGAGACAAGTATTATATTGACTTGGAGCTATCAAAGGATAATTTAGTGTGTACAAACGGATGATAGATTTTGATTTTGCAATGTAGCTTTGGAACTTCCATCAGAATTTAGTTGTTTTGATATATTAATTGCTTCTTACCTGACATGGTGAAAGCCCTGTCAAATAAATTTTCCAGCAGTGTTTACAGCAGCCTTCTCTGTATTCTCCTCTTGATTGATTCAGGGTCTAATGCAGTAGCTCATGAATACTCCGACCTATATGTATTTATAATATATGCATAATATTGTTGTGTATATTTATTATATTCCAGTGTAAACATGACTGTGTTTGGATTAAATAATTACATCTGAGTTCTGACTTCTTTCACAGTAAAAACTGAGAGAATTTTTAAAGGAAAAGATATAACATAGTTCTAGTTATGTTCAACCTTTCCTTTGAAAGAAAATGTTTTATCTGTTTAGAAAGACGACATGAGTTAGGTTATTTGTAAATGAATAACTTAAAAGCATTTTGACACCTGCATATCTGAGGTATTATATATGGAAAATGGTATCATAATTACTAGCTATAATTAAAAATGGGTAGTGATTGATAACTGGTTGATATTTTTCTAAATGACGTTAACAATGAATAATGAATTATATTCTGGTTTTCCATAGTACAATATTTAATCTTCTTCAGCTCTAGCCAGTAAACAAAATGGACTTAAGCAAGTGTTACACCTAACACTACCATTTCATGGAAATTTATAATATATTAAACTGCCAGTAAAAAAGAAATTAAAAATGAGAAGAATGACTAAGTATGAATTATGTGGAGAATTTCTATGATCAGTGAAACTGAAATTATGTTATAGGACAGTAATATCTTATGTATAACCTTAATTATGTCACTTAAAAAATATTTAAAAAGCAGAAAGTAAACCAAATGAAAGTTCGTTTATAATGCAGGTACCTAGGCCTAGTGAGTCATGACTCTTTTCTTCATCAACTTAATTTTTTTTTTTTTCTCCCATGTTCAAGACCTGAGTTTCCTGAAGTCAAGCACTGGTTCTACATTGTTTCTAAGGATTCTGTCAAAGGATTGGAATAATCTTGAGTTTACTTTCTTTATCTAAAATTTTCTTTTCTTCTTTTTATTAATTTATATTTGCCTCTGTGTGTGTTGAGGGGCTAAATATACGCACAAATACATACATAGGTATTGAAAATACGTTAATTGGCAAAGGTTATTCTTGCAAAGACAAATTCCTAATCAAAGACATGTCCACGTTTGGAAGTATGATTGATAGCTGTGAAAAATGCTTTTGATTAAATTTAAAGCCATGTACATTTCCCCTCTCCTCCCCAATTTATCGTCTAGAGATCAACATGTTCAAGTTTCATAGAGAGTCCAAGTGCAAGGAAACTCTTGTTCTGTTTATTTTATGATTTGAAGTCTGTTCTGGTAAGCCAAAGTAGTAGTGATTAATAATAATTTTTTTAGCAATTAAGAATAATATTTAAGCCTACTCTAGTATTTAAGCCTAACTAGTAGTGGATACAGTTCTGCAACTGGACTTAGCATTTCCTAAAAGGCTTTTTTTTTTTTTTTTCTTTTTTCTTTTTTCTTTTTTCTTTTTTCTTTTTTTCTTTTTTTCTCCAAAAAGGCAGTTGAAGCTGTTCTCTCTCTGTGAATCAGATTACTCCCAGTATAGGGTCAGCCGAGTTGCTTGCTCACAGACACAGGCCTCCAGATAAACAGAGCATACTTCCTAGCATATACAGCACTGTTACTCCTGCAAGTTTCAGTACTCTCATCTGCAGAGATGGTCTAACAATTGAAATAGGAATTGCAGTGTATTAAAGAATTTATACGATGGTAATTTTTTTCAGGACCTTTTTGCCTTGGATGTGGAACCCTATCGATATAGTGGTGTTAATATGACTGGATTCAGAATTCTAAACACGGAAAATACTCAGGTGTCATCTATCATTGAAAAGTGGTCTATGGAGCGATTGCAAGCACCTCCTAAGCCTGATTCAGGTTTGCTGGATGGATTTATGACGGTATGAATATCAGTGTTTAGTTCCTTTTTTGTATATGTTTGTGAAGCTAAAAAAGACTTTTAATTTTTTATTTCTGCTACTCAAATTGTTTAGAGGTATGAGACCAAATATTATTGTGAACATGAGTCACAGAGTAACTGTGGTGTTTCTGTTAATATTCTGCAGACCGAATATATGGCCGTATTAACTTTCTTTCAAAATTACACATACTGTATTTTTTTCCAAATGATAATGCCACATTGTAAATGTTTAATTCATCGAGTCCGTATTTCCCTACTTTGTTGGTGAAACTATTGTATGGGATCATGTCAAATCCCTACAAATATCAAGCTAAAATACAATTGTCTCTTTCACTGTTTTGTGTCTTATTCTTTTAAGATTAATTCATTAATAACGTGTACTATTTCATTTCTACATAATTCTTTTTTTTAATATATTTTATTAATACTATAAATAACACCTTCTTACTATCTTTTTGAGTTTCTATGCCTTCCCATAGCTAATTAGTCTGGTAGGTTGGGTTTTTTTCCTTCCATTGCCATGATTCTCTGGCCTCACTTCAGTTCATGAAAATCACAATTACATTCATGCAAATAAACTTTCATTACTAGGTTTTCAGTTAGTTTTTGTTTATTAGTTGGAATTAAACCTAGAATTATAATGTCAGGAAGGGATTTATTTTAAAAACAGATCCTTCAGGAAGGGATTTATTTTAAAACAGATCCTACATTTTCAAATTTGTTGAAAGATCTAAGTTTCCACTTTGGCCTGGAGCGATTTGTAACATCTTTGCTGACAGAGTTCCACTGCTCTTTAGATTTTTTTTTTTTTTTAAGAAGCTTTTTCATGTTCCATTTGAAAAATAGAAAATTCTGTTTCTTGAAGATTAGTATCATAGTTATCTATCAGTTATCTAGATTGTGTTAATTGAGTCATATAACATAATCTTTTGAACAATTTTTTTCTGCTGGTAAGATTTAAAGATTTTATAGACATTGGATACTAAATGACAATATTTTAAAAAGTTAATTTCCTTTTTGTCTTGTTTTTAGAAAATTACTTTTTAGAGAGAAATACCCTTTTTCTTCTATTTACTTGTTGTATACAGGGTCTTGAACATGGTAATTGGAAACATTTTAAATTTAATTTATTTACTAGTTCTGTTGTGCTGCACTTTGTAAAGTCACATTGTTCATTTCTCTAAATAATTCCAAATAAGCAAATGAATCCCCCAAAATTTTAGAAATGTGTGAAGTATGCATCTGGTTTACATATAGCTGCTGCTTATTATTGTAAGCCATTGTTTCATGCTTCCTTGTTTGCATTAATATTTTCATTCTTTGATTTTTACCTTTTTCAATTTAAAATTTGTAGCAGTTCATCTCACTCATTATAGTTGTATATTTTATGCATTGGTCAAAGATATAATTGATCTCAAACCTTTGGATAGTTACCAAGATCAGTAGCAATAGTTACTTTATCAGAACATAGGACCATGGTCAATAAAATCACAGAATAATAAATATTGGAATAGAGTTCTTTGGGCCAGTCACATGTTCTTCACTTTTTGTGGTGCTGTGAAGAAAGTGCCATTCTCAGAAAAGCTTCTGGTGTGAGGCAGAAACCTATTATTGCTAGTATAGGTGTAAGATCATAGTTTACGCCATTACTTTGCCTCAGAACAGAAAAAGATAAAGTAGGGCATGAAAAACACACTGGTTTCTCTACTGGGTTCTTAAGAACCCTCTTTGTAAATCTAAGCGGAACCAAGTATTCATACAGACTGTGATGAATATTTTATGGGGATTCTTTATGTTGATTAAACATCTAAATGCACTTTGATTACCTGGGTTTTAGACACCTGAGATATGCAGATAGAATTTAAGGGATATTTAAAGGCCTAATAATCTTGAAAAGTTAGGTGCCTACAGAGCTTTTATAATTTGGCCCTTAGACACAGAAGAAACATTCATAGGATGTCAGTTTTACAAGAAATATCTTTGGAAGGTGTAAAAGAAAGTTATGTCATGACATCATTGCATAAAGTTCTTCCTATGCTCAGAATAAAATAAGTGGAGTAAAATAAGTAATTTTATTGACTTGTTATCAATAAAGTTGTTAAGTTTATAAAATTTGACTTCCATTTCACTGTTGTTCATGTGTATTTAAACTCAGAAATGCATTCAGGAATTAAAGATTCTATACAGATATTAACTGCTGTTATGGAATACTCTAACTGATATGGGCTGAATTGGGAATTTTTTTTATTTTCACTGGTTGATAATGACTACAGGTTAATCAGAAAAATATTAGCAATAAGCCTGCTTAACAGGAGCACATTCTGCTTGAGCCACATAGCTAAATGTCATTTAATCAGGTATGAAAACACCTGAAACTCGAGAATTTGCCAAATAAAAAACTGAGGTCTGTATATCTCTGAGCATTTAGAGACCTCAGTGAAGACTGACTGTTTCCAATGGTGTAAATCCAGGCAGTTATGGATCACAAACTTTATAAGCTCTGGTGGTGTTTGCGTTATGTCCTTCTTCCTTTGACTTTTCCACCATATGTAAATCAACTTAGCCATCACGACAGAGTTAGAACTATCAATTTAACTCTGACATTGCATTTCCTTATTTATAATTCATAGAGTTCCCAGTCTTAATTCTTGTTTTAAGTTGTTTTCTGTAGGCTTGTATAACTCTAAATAGTATGTAATTTTCCTCATAATTATCTGACCTTTGGTATCCCAATATGATAAAAAGTGGGTATGAAATTTCATCTCATCTCTTTGGAATATTCCAAGTCAAATTTCCAAGTGCGGATCCTATTGACTTCAGTTAAGATAGTCTTTCCTTTGTTTCTAGGCTGCTTCTCAGGACAACTCTGTAGAGGGTGATGCTTTAGCACACCCGAGAAAATTAGTGGTGAAAAACAAATTTTCCATCACATTTCACTCTCCTTTTAAGGTTTCTTAAGATTCTTTGTATGGGCTTTGCAAAACCAAATTTAAACTATTTAATGAATGCTACCATATTTAATCATTCTATTATTTAATAAATGTTGACTTATTTGTATAACTGTCATGGTTTAACCCCAGCCGGCATCTAAGCACTACACAGCTGCTTGCTCACTC